GTAAACGTGCTTCTCCTTCCAGAACATTTAGGCGTCCTTCAAAATATAATAGATTATTCTTGAACTCGAACTTAGAAGGATCATGAGACTTGGAAGAATTATTCTCGATATCATGAACAAGAGTGTCTGAGGACATACTGGAGTGGATTTGCTTGAGAAAAGTTGAATCAACAGTCAATGTTGATTTCATTGTTCGGAGATGAAATTGCTCCGATTTCAAGAGGACCGTTCTTTGTTGCTCAAAAGCTGCATCTCCTTCTTTTGGTGCAAAATAAGAACGTCTAGATATGGCATCGGACAAACCTTGTTGTTTTTATGGCTGATAAGTGATAATGAACTCGAATCTTGACAAAGACATACTCCAATAAGCTTGACGACGATTCAATACGCGTGCTGACATGAAATACTCGAGGTTCTTGTGATCTGTATACACAGTGACTGGACTAGAAGCGCCTTCTAGATAATGACGCCATTCTTGAAAGGAATCCATGATCACAAGAAGTTCTTTATTGTGGATCTCATAATTGATCTCGGCTGCTGAGAATTTTCTTGAATGAAAAGCTATCAGATGAAGTTTGTCATCTGATCCCATTTGTAATAAAACTGCACCCAAGGCAAAATCTGATGCATCTGTTTCCATAAAAAATGCCTTGGAAAAGTCAACACGATATAAGACTGGTGCAGAGAAAAACGATGTCTTTAAGGCTTCAAATGCTGCTTCCGCTTCTTGATTCCATTAGAATTTATCTTTACTAGTCAAGCGTGTAAGTGGAGCTGCAACTCGTGAGAAATCTTTGATGAAGATCTGATAGTAATTGGCAAATCCCAAGAAACATTGGACATCTCTTACTGTCCTTGGAATCTTCCAATCCATGATTGTTTGGACTTTCTTAGAATCCATCATGAGACCATCATTTGAAATGATGTATCCTAAAAATTCAACTTGAGTAGTATGAAATACACACTTTTCCATCTTGGCGTACAACCCTGCATCTCTAAGTTTTTGTAATACTTGACGAACATGTATTTCATGTTCTTCGACGTTCTTAGAATAGATCAGGATATTGTCTAGATAGCAGAGGATAAAATTGTCTAAGAATTCATGAAATACATCATTCATGAGATGTTGAAAAGCAGCTGGTGCATTCGCGAGTCCAAAGGGCATGACATTATATTCGAAATGTCCATACCTGGTTCGAAACGCAGTCTTCCATTCATCTCCTTCTTTGATCCGTACTAGATTATATGCTCCTCTTAGATCTATTTTTGTATAGATCTTAGCTTGATTCAACTAGTCAAGGAGTCCTGATATCAAAGATAATGGATACCTGTTCTTGATTGTGATCTTGTTGAGTCCTCGATAATCAACACACATTCGTAAAGATCCATCTTTTTTCTTTACGAATAGAATTGGAGCTCCTGCTGGAGATTTTGAATGGCGTATGAAATTCTTCGCTAAATTCTCATCAATATATGTCTTGAGTTCAGCCATCTCATCTTGCAATAAATTGTAAATTGGTCCAAATGGTGGCTGAGTTCCTTCCTTGAGGTCGATTGAACAATCATATGGGCGATGCTCAGGAAGAATATCTGCATTCTTTTTCTCAAAAATGTCTTGATACTCCTAATATTGACTTGGAATGCCACTTGAAGTCTTTACGTTTTCAGAAATAGGTGCAGCATAAATAGCAAAAGTTGATCCTTCTTTTGCTGCGTATATAAATACTTTTGCACCTATCAGTACGGGTTTTATTATATTAGACTTATAATTTTTTACTTGGTTGGTAGAACTATTAATAACGCTCTGGAAAACGTCAAGTTTACGCAAATTCCAATCTATTCGAGGGTTATATTTTTCTAGCCAGGATAAACCTAAAATAACTGGATTGGACGGGGATTTAATTATGTTAAAAGCTATGTAGCTATCATGACCGTCTATTGTTACTTTTATAGGATGAGTTTCATGAGTGACATCTCCAGAAGACAAGGGACGACCATCTATGACTTCTACATGTATTGGTTTAGGTTTCTGTATAAAAGGTATTTTACGACTTTTAACAAATTGTTCATCTAAAAAACATGCTGAGGCTCCCGAATCTAATAAAGTAGAGGCTTTGTAATTCTTAGGTCCTAAATATAAGTCTATTATAAAACAAGGAGAGGGTTCTGAGGAGAGGATAGGACCTTCATTAGAAATTGTACAAGGTTCCAGCTGCATGGTCCCTATTGTAGCTGGACGAATCCGTTTTCTGACATGTTGTTTTCTTTGACCGTCGTACCCCTCATTTTATAGTTGCGTCGTTTCTTTGGACAATGTTGAGCAGTGTGCTTAGGTTCTCCGCAATATAAACATAATCCTTCTTGACGACGATGAATCTTTTCTTGTTCAGTTAGGGGTTTAAAATGTACCGCGTCAATTTGCATGTCTTCTACTTCCGAATGTATGTTTGGCAAAGATGTTGATGTTGCCATTGAGTAATAACGTTGAGGTTCCCGTGAATGATTCTCGGATCGAAATTCGAAAAGTTGATTATCACATTTTACCGCAAAATCGATTGCTTGACTCAAAGTTTGAGGATCAAGTAAGTTGAGCATCAATTTCTTTACTTCGTATTACAATCCATAAAGAAATTGACTGATGAGTGCAGCATCATCCCACTTGATGTCAATTGCAAGTTGTCGAAATTGTGAAGCATACACTATTACTGAGCGATTTTCTTATCGCAGAATTCGGATCTTATTTGTTGCAATACGAGTTGCATCGTGTTCACCATACATAGATCGAAACTCCGCCAAAAAAGCTTCCAAATTGTCCAATATTAGATTTCATTGTTCAAGAAAAGACGAAAACCACGATAATGCAGAACCAGAAAGTAGAATGCCAATAAACTTGACTTGTGATCCTGGAGTTGGATAGCTTTGCGATTGAAGTTCAATTGCCAATTGTACTTGATTAATGAACCCTCGAAACTTTGATCTCGTACCATCAAATTTCTCAGGTAAGACAATTCTTGGTTCTCTAGTGCTTACAGGGTGTTGTACAATTGGAGAAGGAACGTGGTTTGTTGTAGATATTGAAGCAGCTGCAATCATCTCTATATCCCCACTTTCTGCTATTCTTGTTTTTCATGTGTTGGTGAATTGAGTTGATACATCACAAGCATTAACTCCCTCATTTGCTCTTGCATTTGTGCCATTGCACTCTTCATTTCAATAAGCTCTGCCATAATGACACTAAGAAGAAAAATTTGTTTGATACTACTCAAGACAAAAGAAAAGAAAGACTTGATAACAAAGAAGATACTAAGAACAATATCAGTTTAGAAGTGGGTAATCCGCAAACTTCTAATATGCTTATGTCTTATCAAGAGAAAGGGGTAATCCACTCTTACTCAAGAAAAACAAAGCTCTGATATTGTAAGTGTACTCTTGTCAATCTGTGAAGGACAAAGACTCGATGAGGGAAAATATACACAAAAAGGCTATCTTGATATAATAAGTCAAAATATAAACAAGTAGGTATATTAAAAGGAAACTGGAATGGCTATTGCCACAAGACAAGAAACTAAAGACTCTTGAACCTGGACTAGAAGCAAGAAAGGAGTTAACAAGAGTGAAGAAGCCTTCACTCTTGTCTCTATATATACTATCTAACTAAGAGCTACGTGGCGACGTTCTATAGGACCTCCAATAGGTGTTGACTTTGTAGGGCACATGCCTTGACTTACAAGGCAAGTTTTTCTATGTGTGGGCCACATAGTTAGCTTGATCTTCAAGCTAACAACATGTGTGGCACATGGCCAACTTGTTGACCACGTTTCTAATCCAAAAAGTCAATTAAAGACACCTATGAAGTCAAAGTAGTATCTAGGAAGTTTCTAAGAAGCTTCTATATTAAATATTATAGAATTAACTTACTTTTATCTACTTTTACTTACTTCTACGTATTTCTATATGTAATTATTAGCTTACATGATTATGGCCGTAACAGCATCATAATCTACCAACTCGTGCCAAAGTTTGAAGGATTTAGTTTCCTAGGTCATGTTGCTAGTTGAAGAACTCAAGATTAAGAAACACATAAGATGATAAAGCAAAGAGTTTATCTTGATAATGTAAGCTCGAGGTTGAGAGGTCTTTGAATTCTAATACGTAAATGAAACAATTGAAATGAGTGCACAAAATACTAATTGCTCAAACATTGCAATTGGTCTTAGAATCCTTGTTGCATTTACTAATATACCTAGATCTTATTGTTGCTACATTTTAATTGGTGATTGCCAACTTAATATGCATGCATCTTTATAAAGTCTATAAAAATTTATTTTTTTAGTGGATGTAACTTCTTATTTACCTTGCAATCAATCTTTAAAAATGTTGTAAGTATTTATATGGGTAGAAAAACCAATGGTGTGTATTAACATAAACTGATTCATAGGTTTGATATTCTTTGGGTGAGGTCAAAACAAAAGCTAAGGCATTTGATCTAAATAAGCTTAGATTAGGAATCACATATTTGAAATTTTAACTTTCAAAGAAAAAGTCTTCTTCTTTTGCAAAGATTAAATTTTCTCCTTTTAGCCCCAAATTCAAATATACTTGAAATTACTCTACTTGTTTGTTGCAAAGAGCTTTTCTAATGCAAAACTTATTTGTGAGTATTTTTCTATCGTTTTCTTACACCTACTTTTTGTTGCGTGTGGCAAGGTTACTGTGTCTTCAATGACTTGGCTTCCGCCCACATCCACTTGGATGGTTAATCAACGCGAACACTGCATAAGTGTGAGGGCTCGTCTACACGGCCAGTGTTTGCATCGCTCTGTTCATCCAAAGCTCGTAGTTGCTCGCAATTGCAGCCCACCTTGTGAAAGTATGGCGACCAGGTTGTATGCGTCTCCACGTGGTTTCCTCTTCATGGTTGCTTCCATAGCCGCGGTCGAAATCCCCGGGACCTCTGAATCTGAATCAGCAATTACTTGAATCTGAATCTTCGGTATGAATCTTGTCTTTTTGTCGAGTCTCCTCTCCCATTTTGGTGGCAGCTTTCGTTTGGAAAAGTTTTCTTCTTGGGAGGGTCACTTGCCGCCCCGCCCCCTTGGATATGGTCATGTTCATTGAGTTGAGGCAGTTTTTGGGTCTGTTTGTGGAGAATTGGTTGTTTTGAAGAGTTTCTTGTAGTCCTAGAGCTTTCGGGTAGCCGATTGTTCCTCGGTGGTGGTGTTTCGGGATGCATCAGTTGGAATGTTCAGTCTTTGAGGGTTTTCTGCCATAGACCTGCTTGCTGGAGGCTTTTCGCCTTGCACCCAGGTGGTATCTGTTGCTGAGGGATGTGATTTTGGAGGATTTGTGCACATTTGTGGTTTGTTGATATCACCTACAGGCACAACCAGCTTCTTCTTGATGAAACTAGTTCGTTTACTTGGGTTGTCTGTGTTGGGTGGTGCGTAGCTCTTGAATTTCAGGATTTCGTTAAAGTTCTTGTTTAGTTACTTAGTGAAGTCAATCTGCCGCAGTCTCTGCTTATTCTCACACTGTTGCCGAATTTGGTCCTCCTGGCGGATTGTTCGGTAAGCAGTCTTTAGGGTAGCTTCTCTCGCTGCTTGTATCCAAGCGCGTGTGCTCCTGCGCAATTTTTGAACATAGATGGAAATTGCTCTTGGGGAATTTTCCTCAGAGTTATATCTGCTTCTGCTTTTTCATACTATTCTCTGTATTTTGAAATTTGTCCTGGAGCCTTTGTACGACGAATTTGACACTCTGGGTGTTCAACGAACCTCGCGGAATTGGCAGCCCTTTTATTCTTTGCCTTTCTTGCGCTACGGGGTTATCTTTTCTGACCTTATTGTTTAATTTATTCTCGTGTAGTGAATTCTGATTTGTTAACGTGGGTCAGTCACGTGTAAACCTCCACTCTCGTTGCCATGGTGTGGGACATCAAGCTAAGGCAACCAAAGCGTGTCGTGGCCACAGTACGTGAAGTTTATAAAGAATGAAAATAAGTGCCGCAGCTGATCCACATGTGGCACATAAATCATTGAAGCCCTTTGACTGATTCCAAAACATTAAACAATGCAGGTACGCAGGATAATTATGTCGTACTTTGTGCCGCCGTGCAATTATGGAATGGTGGAATACGATTTGAGCCGATCGGGCCAGTGTCACCAGCTCAACTTCCCGTTCCTTGAACGGCACAATCTCAAGACAGTCATCTACCTGTCCTTCGACGAACCATCTCAACCATTGTAACTTCATGAAATCCAGCTGTCGGTTTAAATGGCTCTTGCTTACGTTTAAGTGCCTTTCTTTCTTAAACTCAGAATTTTGCAACCAATTTCACAAGCACTATCTCAGTTTTGAGGGAGTTCACTCATGTGGTGGTTGTCGTCTAACGATGATGCAACATCTAACGATGATGCAAAGTCTCAACTATTTAGTCTTGAAATTCTTAATTTTTGTTCTATTTGGATTTGATTTGAGAGGGATATTGTAAGCATGTGTAATTCTTTATGAGCCTGATACCTGGACCTGGGTGTAGCTTAAGTTTTTTGGAGGACCAAGGGATTGATTTAATCCGGCCCTGTCAAGAGCTTGCGGAGCTCCAGAGTCAAGCTAACTCCTCGATGTCTGAGGCGGAAGTGCTGTCTGCATTGCAGGTCAGCATCTCTGCTACCAGTTGTATCCATGTTGTGTTAGTTCTTATGCTCATAGTTCTCTATTGTTTTCTTTAGTAGCATTTACTCTGCAATGCAGTTATAAAACTTTCCGACTGCGTTGGGAGTGGGATCAATAACACGAATATTATCATGATTGTTGCGTGCTCAGGTGATTTTGTCGTCGCAATACTATCCTCTTCATGTAATGTGCAATTTTGGTCACCATCGAACAGGTATACTTCAAACTGCATGCACATGGAAAATATATATTATTCAATTTTTGAAGTAGGATGCAAATTACTATTTAGTGGATAAGAACAGGCCGTTTGTACTTATTTTTATTTCAAGACCTTCCAAGTAATTTCTGTATGGCCAATGTCTTGCAGGCACTGTGATAGGGTGCTTGAGGAAGCTGCAAGGGTGGAATTTGACGGCCATCTTCGAGGAATACCGGCGGTACGCTGGCAGCAAGGTCCGCTTCCTGAATGAACAGGTGAATGCACTAACAAGTCTCATCTACCTCTTTGGAGGTCTCGTTTGGCCCACGTATCTTATCCATCTGCATCGTGTGAAGCAATTATAGTACAGATGCACCAGCTCAGGCATAATTGCCTTGGAATTCTGCCAGCAGACAAGTGAAGATCTTACTCCATTTGCAGAGCTTGTGTTTCGCTGCACGTCATCGCCACTCTTGTTTATTGAATTTACCAGAAGAATTTTGCACGACTAATTAAAAAGTTAACTAATTCTTGTGGAATGGTTGCAGTTCATCGAGCTCTTCGATACAGATCTTGTTCGCATCCCAGTGGATCACCCAAATTGGCTGTGACTCAGTATTACAACCATTTAACCGAGTGCAAGCTGACATATTGAGCTGCATGAACTTCATCTTGTGCACATAGCTGGTAAACCATTTGATGACGGTCATGATGGTCCTTCACAGCTAGAATGGTCTAAACCTTCAGTTGAGATTGTTCTGATTCAAGTCCTAACAATGGACGCTGACTTTGATTTATGCCTGGGCATGCAGGCGACTTGAATAGCAGCACGTCCCTTTTACAGGTTCACTCTTCCACATCACTGGAAAGCAAACTCAGATGGATTCTTCACATGAAAGCTATTTACAATTCTCGAGTTAGTGTTTATGTCTTACGTCCGTAAATACGCAGCGCCTTTACAGGCTTACAACTTTTGACTACCCCATCTTCTTTGTATCTTCGCATCTACTTTCATTTGAGGCAGCGAATTATCTTCCGAATTGAACCGCAGTGGAGGTTTTAGCTGAGTTTTGACATCTGTGTCAACCACCCGTTGAATTGAAAACTGCCGGACTCTTCTACCTGTCTTCTCGTGTCTGGAAATCATTTCGTTACCAAAATTTGTGTGCTCCTTCGACTTGAAAGACGATTCGTTGGCAATGTTGATGTGCACATATAATTTCGTTTGAAGTGGAAATGAAAGTTTAGCAACAGGCATTCAATGAAGGAAGTATAAAACAACAAAAATTAGAACTGGTGTCATTTTCCATTCGGCAGCACATGCACAATTCTTCACGGACAACAGACGATCCGCTTGAGGGCTCGTAGCCGGAACTGCAACTTCATACTTCATCTGATATTGTAGCTATTGAGAAGATGAAATGAAAGGGGTTTCTCGTCTGATGACTTGAAAGGAAGTAGGTCTCGGATTCTCTTCGGTGGCCACAGTATTTTGAGAATTAATTTCGAGAGTATTGAAATACGCGATGGCGATGGGGATAGCAGACTCTAGTTTTCATGGCATCTATACCCGAATTTCCTCAGGCTCTTCTTGCCCCTTCGTGCACTCTCTTTGGTTGTTGTGTGCCCAGCTCGTTCACAGAGTTGATAAAATTTGAGAACAATCCGCATGCTATTAGTTAGATTTGAAAACCATCTAACGAATCGATTGAGGACGGAGTAGGATATGGATGATGGAAATGGCATTGGGTCTTTCTTCTCCACAAAAAATTGCATGTTCTCTGCGGCTATGAGGATCAACCTTGCGTTCTTATTCGTTTCAAACTCAGGGACAATCTCGAGTGCTTCTAACCTCAAATACTATCATTTGGCATGTGTGCAATATTAAGTTTTTAAGTAGTGACAGCATGCCCAAACAAGATCCCATCTGATTGCGATTGATTCGTGAATTAATCGTTAGGTTATGGTTTTCAATTTCTCAGTTCAAGTGCTTTTTCTTTGAATTTTAGATTCCAGTTGCGAAGGCATCAAGATCAGCGATCAAGATTTCTTCCAGGAATTGTGTTGGAATTATTTCTGCGCAGTAATTGATTCTCTGATTTAGATTTTTTCATTGCAGACAAAAAATCCTATCTCAGTGGATGAAACTCTCAGAGTGCAAGTAATAGACTGCAAGTAAGGATTGTTACCCTAAACCAAATCATATCAAGCTGCTTCATTCCCCACATGTTTAGAATCCAGTAACCGAAACCTCAACCGGAAACATGATCTAATTTATCAGTTATGATATGTTGATTTTTGTTTCAAAATTGAATTGAGCACATGCACGCAGGTATTGAAGATCTTGACTTTGTTGTAGCAGAGTAGTCGAATTAAACTGTATTGCAGAGAACAGCGAAAGAAGCTAGAAAATACAGAACTGGAGCTAGCTGCAGCAAAGAGGGAAGGCTATAAGCCCGTTTCCAAAACTCTTTGAAGACCACATATCTTTAGCTATTGGCACCTTCACTAGTTTTAGCGGACAATCCCGTCGCGCGTCCTCCCGGTAAAGTTGGATACCCACTGGTACTGGTAAGTCTGATCACTTTTTTCTTGAGGAATTTCAATTTCAAATTCTTCTGCGATATCATAGAGATGAATCAGCTTTAATGCATACATTCTCATAATGAAGAGGGTGTTCCATTATTTGGGTAATAATTTCATCGCTTTCTGTTTATGACAAACTAATGATCTCATGTAGTATGAATATGACATTCTACAACCAATATGTCTATTCCCTTTTCGATTGCTTCTTAGCTTTACTTTGTGATAGCAGGTATAGCACTAAAGGGACTTGATAGTGACGAAGGTATCATCATTTGCTACGTCCCTGGACGCGGGTTTTGTTTTATCACTTCTGTTGTATGACGACCTTGATGGGTATTAGTTGTTTTTTGCAACAACTCTGAATATCTCATTGATATGTCGATTTCGTTTTTGTGAACATTGGAGCTTGGACTGAATGTAGTTCAAGTCGAGGAGATTTGTTGGACCGACAGAGAGATCCAGAAAACATAAAAACCAACGACTTCCTTATCCTGATACTTTATCTCTAATCGTTTCACTTGGACTTCAGTTCGCATGTGTTGTCCCCATCACACGGTACCCTTGCCATCGAATTCTCATAAAATTCGCAATGAATGGCGGTAACTACTCACCGAACTGGTTCTCCTAACTCTTTCTGTTCAGATCAGTCATCCTTTTTCTTAGGACTAATGTTATCTGCTAGTTTGCTTTCAAGACCATTATCGATGGTGATGTGTAACTCTGCAGGAGAATCATGCCGAGATTGATGATAACTTCATGCAGAAAAACGGGCTTTTACTCAGTAAAGCGATCGCTTCTTGGAACGCAGATTTCTATGTGAAGATTGATGGTATGTTGCTCTGAATATAGGTGAGATAATAGATCTTTTAATTACGACCTTTTTGGCACTCAATGCATTTCTATTGGTAGCGAAAATGGATCTGGAGCTTTTCACATCATTGAAGCTTTTCGAGACCCTGCTAATGACTGGCACTAGGTTCTTTCTCCAACCATACTTGATAATTTTTCTATGATCGTCCCTTTTGTGGATTCAACAGACTGTCGTGAGAAGTTTAAACTAAAGTTGGGTCATTGTATTAGTGCTGGGTCATGACGCTATGTTCATGTGTCTGAGTGCAAACAATGTTAGATCTACTCTTGGAGCACTTTTTGGAGATGATGATGATGGGCATTTTTCTTAGAGGCAATAGTTGCATGCAACGTTGTCCAAGTGTCTAATTGCCATACTTAAATGGTAATATATAATTATGAAGCTGTGTACATGTGGTCATCGAACAGATATTACGGGAAGCATGCTATCCAGCCACCGAGACAAACCAAGAGTAAATGTGGGTTGCATGAAATGTGGGACAGTAGTAAACAATCCGAAAGTTTCGTAAGACTTTCTATTTGAAATTTCATTGTGTCAATGAGTTACGCTTGTTCATTTCATTTTATTTTTGCTTACTGATCTTCAGTCTACAACGATTTCATGTGATTAACTCCTTTCATTCTAATTAGGATAATCTTGCTGTTCTGAAACCTCATGACGAGAGAAAGTTGCTGTTATGCATCATGCATGGCTCACTGGTGTCACAAGTTTATTATTCCTCATTCTTCTTCAGACTTCTATACCTGGACCTAGTATTCAAGTAGCACTCGTATAATATCTTGTTTCATTGGTCCTTTGCTCTTCTTGTGGATAGGAAAGATATTGTTTTTGTCACCATGATACAGAAATGTAGTGGTATGAGCCTTACTGGTGGAAATTTGGAGACTAGAAGTCAGAGTAAGCATTGACCTTTAACAATCATTTAAATTTATCACTAACCTTCTATGTTAAAATACTTAAGCGAAGTGTAGCAACTTGGTAGACTTGTGCTGACGTCGACTCGCGATGGCTTATGGATCAGGTACCTTCGGCATGCCGCTTGTCAAGTTTATGGTCTCTCGAGATCAACAGGTTAGTACCAATGTGTCAAATTACTGATTCATCTGTACCACTTTTGTATTTGTGGGAATTGTCTTGTGAAACATGTCATGCTTTTCATGCACTGCCTATCTCAAAGAGTACAAGAATGAGAACATTGATATTGGAGCTTGAATGCTGGGTTTAGATGCAGAGCATATTGACGAATAGCATCTGTGCTGTGCTCCCAATAGTTGTCTCTTACTTGCTCATAGTTCATCTAATAAGTTTTGACAACCATCATCGTAATTCTCATGATATATTGTTCTGCGGAATAATCGGCTAATTGAGCTGGGGTACAGGTATGATACCATCCGTCTTTTATATTCAATTTTAGTTTTATTTCTTTATTTTTTTGACACAACTGGGGTATACCTCTCGCATAAATTAATCGATGAAGGTTACAATAAGACTGCCTAGGCCTTAATAATTGTTCTACAATTTCAACATGATTGCTACATGTTTATTCCATGCAGATGCTGGGCTCCACTGAACGTTCCATCCAGTTGAGGAACTGAAACTATTCATTGATTCCATTGTACTTTTGAAATAATACTCCGCAGTGGGACCTTGAAAGTCGAGTTACTCATGAAACATGAACTTGATTACTTGGAAATGTCTAATTTGTAACGTCTTCCTAATTCTTCCCTTGACTGTTTCTGACAAGATTCTAAGCAATTGTGGTTATGTGGATCAAGTATTCCAATTAGTACTTTCAGGTGGCGATTTTTGGCTTCAATAATGATGAGCTTCACTATATGACTTGCTGTCATTACACTCCTCCAGAAGAGAGGATAGTTTAGAGCTGTTCCTTGAGTTGTGTCCAGATTCACCATGTATAGGATCTGATTCTTCAGTAGATTGGCTCACAACCTGATACATTGGCAGGCGATAGCTGTTACATGTTTTGACATAAGAAGTTTCAACTTGACCATCGTGACCTTATTTTTTCTCCGGTGCAGTAGAGTGAAGGTACTTGGCCTCAGTTTTTGAAAACATCTGAGAAAATTGACATCTGTCTCCAAAATACGCTGCCAGTGTTTGACTGATATGGATGTCAACTCCAATTGACACTTCCCGCTGCACGATCTATCGCAAGCATAGAGGTTGAATACTTTGTAGCTGCGAGAATCACCGGCTTCTCTTGGATTCATGAGTTCTGAAATGTGTTGCAAGCAAGTTGTGTCTCGCTCGGTATTGTTCAGTCGCCACCTATGATACGATGGATCCGAATAAATTTCACTGAAGAAACGCCACAAGAAGGTAAGAGTTTTCGCGACTCTCTATAGACGTAGTTTGAGCAGAATAAGTTGTTTATGATTGAGATTACCCCAAGGCAATCAGTTTGAGTGTACAGCTTGTATTTTGATGAGTCCACTTTTGAACAGGGTTTTCAGTTCATTCCCAGAAGCTCAACTTCTTCATCCTCATCTCTTCTTTAATGTTGCAATTCATCCCATAATTTTCCTTTATTTAGTGTTAAGGGTTTACAAATGTAGAAATAAATTAGAAACAGATGTAAAATGTTTCTTGGAGCACCTTACCTGCCCTGGTATCAGGGTGTAAGAGTTACGGTTGCCTTGTGCTCATTTCCACATTAACCAAAGCTTTGGGTGTACCCCACTTGTGTCAAAAAACAAAACAACAAAAAACAAAAAACAAAAACGTGCCCAAAACGAATAGGTCTAGAATTGAAATCTCTCAATTGGACGTGATTTGAATCAGAGGTGAAGCACAATCTCGTATACACAACACAGAAAAAGTAGTAGCCGGTCTAACTAGAAAGCAATCCTGAAACAATACACATCGTTTCAATGAAAGTTCCTATCCTGAGCTAAACCAGAGAGATCAGTTGAATTTTCGCTTCTTAGTATCTTTATTGACTTGAGGGGATCCCTTCGGACGCTTATCTTTAGCTTTTTTACCTTTCTTCTTACCAACCTCCGTCCATTCACTGGTTAACTTGACCATTGGAATGAATGCCGCTTCTGTATCTTTAGAGGTCGACGACAGAATCGAACCCTTTTGGTTCAAGTTTTCCACCTGGTTTCCTTCATCAGGTTTCGTGCAGGACCCTGGCTTCTGCTTCATTTCATTGTTTTCAGGTTTGGTGGCAGATTCAGCTACGCTGTCCCTTTTGCAAGCAGCATCTACAAAAGGGCTCAAATTCAAACAGGACCCTTTGGCGGTGCCAACAGAGAGAGGGTCCCAAACATTAGGCACAGCAAAAAGAAATTCCTTCGACACCGCAGGGACACGCTCCAAAATAATAGCTGCTTTATGTGCCTGCTTGCGTGCTACGCCATGCAAAATGACTGATCTGAAAGATGGACACAATGTACAGTGGTTAACTACCGAACACCCATTAGAAATAAATATCATCCACAAATTCACTTTGCTTAAAAACACATGATCCTCTCTTCAAGTCCACTGTCACGCGTGTGGCGAAAAAGTTGGTCAAGAAAAATGACAAAACATATAAAAACTTTACTTCGTGGCATAGTGTGACATTGACCAAACAAGCAATTTGTGAGGTGACATATTGGATTGAGAAAAAGCAGAAGAAAGCGAGTGATCTTACTCGCAGTTTTTTGAGATGGCAGCTTTAGCAAACTCCGTTGACAGCCCGAAGAGTGTAGCCATGTTTACAACATCATTCGGTCCTCGAAGCTCCATGGCTTGAGAGGCTCCGCTGCTTATGACTATTCCTTTGCCTTTTGTAGCTGCTTGCAACACCTGCTCATCAACAAAACACCTCATCATTTCGAGAAAAGAAATCACTCAAACCTCTCGTCCCAAGCCCAACTATATGGTATGTATTTCCATAACTCATCCGGAATAGTTAACTTATAGTGGGACACATTAGAAGGCCCAAGGATAATTTTGAAGATGAAAAATAACTATGACTGAAACATTTACCTTTTCGGTAATGGATTCAAAAACTTCTTTGTCATCAACCTTAAAAGAAACACAAAAGGTGGAGATAAACCCATCGATAATTGATTTACCTGAGCGTTTGAGAAAAGATCTTTGCGAGCCCTGGCGTCAAACAGAGCACGTCCATACGAAATCTCAAAAAATACACCCCTCTGCAAGAACCTGTGCGTAAGATAAATATAAAGAAACGGCTACTTCTGTTCAATTGAGAAACTTTTCATACAAAAATGCATAAGAGTAGAGAGACCCGTGCAACAGTCAAGGCTGTTGCCGAAGAATTTAATGGCCGCTTACCTGGAGGGCCGCTTTGACCATGGGAACTTTCATACGGAAGGGGACTCGCTGAAACAAATCTACCGAGATAAGATCCACCTGCATCCAGCACCTCAAACTGAGTCCACTGCAAAGGCCAGCTTTCTTCACCTCTACTGATACCTGAATTTCGTTAATACACATCATCACTAGGGATCTTAAGAGTTGACCACTTTTGTAGCTATTTCTAAATGTAACTGAACAAACATCAACTTCCATAACAGTTCGCAACTCAAGAACATTAGCATTATCGGCCTTTCACTCAACATTCCATCACAAATTTGGCGTTAACCAACAGAAAACGAAAAACTATTGTACAAAATATGTTTCTGATTCTGTAAAAGAATTTGGACACAATTAATCGAGTGAAAACAAACCCTGGAAACTGATTCTCGATGTAAAACTAGAGATTCAATGCACTTTGACAGAATAAAAAATCTGAAACATGTCAACAAGTAGTACCTCTGAGTTTCTGCAGGCTTGTTCGAACACTTTCTGGTTAGTGGGACGAACCGCAACAATGTCGTAAGTCCGCAGGACCGAGTTTCCCGAATTCAATGCAGCAGCTTGTGCTGAGTCATCTACAACCACCGTAATCCGGCTGTACTGCCGGAAGGGCTGGTCGGCGGGAACACCAAGCAGCTTTTGATGAAATTTCACCGACTCAGCAATCCCCGACGATGCTGAAAGCAGGCCCGAGACATCTAAGGGTTTAATACTTGACCGATCAGTCTCCGCCAGCGGACCACTATGCACGTAATCCGTGGCGACTGATGTGTAGCCATATTGTAGAACTGTCGTGACCAGTTCCCGGCGAGTGTTGCCGCCAATTTCAACCTCACCCAGACTCAAATCATGGAACATAATTAATTGGCCGCTTCTTCAGCAAGAAACAAAAGAAGGTCAAGAGACAGCTTCATTCAATTTTCTCCACGACTAGGATTGCCACAGCACTAACAGAAAAGTATCGTTCGAAGGAACACCCGAAAGACATCCTCAAACTACAACTTCGCGCGAATTCTTCCACTCCAGGTACTCTTCCCTGTTCTTCACTGTCAAATAAAAAAGTTCATTCCCAGACACAAAAAATCTCTCCCCTGACAACGTTCGCTCTGCTGATAAGCAATACCTTCCAATTAGCAAATTACCCAGTAATCGAAACAGCAACAAATCTAGTACCACCTCTTCCAATGCTTGATCGTTCAGTCGTCCTCCTTCAAAGGGCTTTCGACATAATTAGGGCTTGTGGGTTTTTTCAGCCTTAAACCCACGAAAGAAGTTGGATTTGTTCGTCAATTGTTCACATAAGGAAATCATTCATTTGTTGGGCTTTCAGAGGGCAGGTGTGTAAGGGTATCAGAACCCTACTTACCCGTCGAAGAGGCAAGGGGGACAATACCCAGGGTATGGATTCATACATTCATGAGTTCTGTATTTCATCATCATTCATTGTTTACTAAGTCGTTGATAAAGATGATGTTCTCCCAGTCTTTAGCAGAGAACACCGGGTGGAGCTACCCCGGCCCAGCCGAGCAACGGCTTCTGGATGAGCACAAGGACGAGGACAAGGGTGGCCATGACACACCTGCGTCTGCGACGGTTGATCGTAGCTGCCGTTGTGGCAGAGATCACGCGCCGTGTTTCATGGATCGGACAGGGATGGATTGATCTACCGCCCACGCCCACTTGCGCTTACTTCGATGAGCCAGGCGCTGTGCAGTCTGACAGAGAAACGATCAATCTTGGTGGAATATGCGGACGTAGTCGTGGTTGCTCCCCCCATACTTGCGGCGTCGGGTTGCTTTTGCATCTATCTAGTAGGTTTGCCGGAAAGTGCTGCTTCGAGCAGGAAAAATAGTATATAACCATCCTCTAGTCCATCTGAAACAGGAATATGTATGCGCTCTGCTAAACTGGCCTGTGAGATTTGAATAATCGATCTGATTCCGCGCATTGCTCTTTGAGAAGCGCGGCGCTAGTGTTGGAACTGGGCAGTTGAAGCTGAGTTCGAGACTGCAGAGGTTTGCAGCAGTGTTCCTTATGTTGTTGATCAGTATGCGCAGAGATTGTCCACCTCGTGTAGATGTCCGTTGTTTGTGTTGGCCAGTTTTTGCGACTTTAATCGGATTCTCATGTTGCATCGTGATGTGTACATGGGTTGATCTTCGCTGTTTCGACCTTCTACCTGCGCATTGTCCTTGCAATATTTTTTCAGCATACGCTGATTCTACGTGAGGTTTTGTGATTACAGGTTTTGGCTCCTCGGTGCACATCGTTTTGAAGTACAAATTTTTTACTACTTCAAGGATTATACTTTGTGGAGCGACCCCTTTCAGCTTTGCAGGATTGGTTTGTAAATTTGGACATGGCGACCTTATTGGTCAGCACTCCATTTGTGCACTCCAGTTCCCTGAGGAAATGCACCTTGCCTGGCGAAGTACGGCAACAGAAGCGTCTGAGAGTATCATGCCTACTAGGCTCTGTTCCGTCAAGTGTCGGAGGTTATAGAGAAGATGGCAGTGACGTTTCCGGCGGTAATGACATCTTTCAAGCTTTAAAAAGTCCTCTTCTGAAAATCTCCCCCGCAGCCTGGATCGCGACGTTCCGTGAGGTTCACGACGAAGCCCACCGAACCGATGCAGCTCCAAGGTTTCAGAAGACTGCTCCATCCTCTGAGTACGCAACGGGGGAGATGGGTCAAGTGGAGATTCATCGATCGCAGAGGAACGTCGTATTTACCCCAGAGAAAGCAAAACGATTGAGGAAGGAAAATCGTGCTACCCAAACATTCCACGACCAATGGTATCATTCCGCAATAGCCAGCAGGCTGGCAATTCCCGAGTAAAAATGGTACAGGCTTTAGTTTCAAAGCTAATAGAAGAACGTCTAATACTTCGATCAGAAGAACGCCAATGTCACTGTTGCCGTCGGCAGTCACCCCTCAACATTCTTTGAGTAGACATTAATATGTCGCTCCGTATGGTATTAATCTGAAGGAATATTCTTTGCGCAGGCCTAAACCTGTCGCCCTGGAAGTAGAATACATTAGAAACTTAAATCCCGACTATGGGGAACAAAAGAAATAGCAATTGTACATGATCAATGACTTCGTGGGGAACAAAAGAACTAGCAATTGTACAGATCAACGTCTCCACGCATATTATGAAACTGTGTCTTCAGACGCATTTAACTCATATTGCCCGAAGTCGAAGCAACCTTTTTCTGTATCACGTTTGTAATCTTGTCTGTCATGTTCTCGTAGCGTCAGAATATCACGTCAGTGTGTGTTGGCGTTCCGAGCGTACTTTGAATTTTTCACTTGGGCGGTGTGTTACTGTCGAATCATGTGTATCTATCGGAAAGCAGTGATGATGCAGATCTGGTGAAGCTATGTTTGCGGATACGGTCAAGCGTACGGTTGCAGCAGTCGCAAATGAGGAAGATACAAATTATGGTCGGAAACTGAGTGTGTCTGACACATCCCTATTTCGTGAGGGCCTATTGCACACCGCATCAAGCTTCTTTCATGCACGATTTTTCTCCTTGCGACAAGCATTGGATACAAAGACGATCTCCCGTTGTGTTAGTGGCGTGTGTGAAGGTTGGTGATGCGCCATCTATTTTCGCGGCCGATTCCTTTTTAGCGACGTATAACGTGGTCTAAGCTATTATGAACCCAGGTTTTAAAACTATGTGGAGTAGTCCTGATAATTTGTTTGCTTCCAGATTCTGGGTGATGGGTTTCTCAACCTTAGGTCAGTTGTCTAATTCCAATCCAGTTTTACTACTGTTGACTTCATCTCTGTTGTATCCCTCGTTCTCATTTTCATCGCCGTCCAGCGATCTAAAGATCCTCAGATACCGCATTTGGGTCTTCAGAATATGCCCTGCTGCTTCGGTTTATACGGCTTTGTGATTTCTTTTCCACCTTCCATCTTGAGCTACGTATAGTACTTTTGCAAGATTTTCCCCATGTGCAGGAATACGTCAAACTGCCCCATCCGACGATACTCAGAACACACACAAGTGCCGTGCTCTGCTGCCTTCAGAATTTGCACATGTTCTTTCGTTACACTATTCGACTAAGCTGGACACAGTGTGTCAACCGTGTTTCAATTTATGTAGAGAGCGGTTTTGCTCGAGGACTTCGCTATTGGGTAATAGCTCTGCTGCAAGTCGATGCGTGAATTATGGTCTTTATGCAGATGGAGTGTGAGACCTCAGTGCAAGTGCGTGACTGTGGAAGATGGAATTATGTTAACGTTTAGCGTGATTGTAGGTTGTTACTCGCAGTCGATTTCAGTAAAGACGTTGTCCGTAATACATGCAAGACCTACGTGTGTCCGATAGGTTCGGCCTGTGAGGGTTTATTGCTAAGTTTATCCGTCCTTATCCACTGTCTGTTGGCTTATTGTCCTCGACCTGCAACTGCCCATACTTAAGTGACGTATTATCCCCTTCTCATCACGCTTTGACTCGATTGCCAGGTTTTGATATCAAGTGGTGGGATTATTGATCCGATCTGCGGCCTGTTTCTGATACAATTGTGCTCCAGTATATTGAAGAGCTTCGATTTGTCGCTGGCTTCTTCTGTTGCTTCCGCTACGCAACCATTACCGATCGTTTGGAGCTCTGCATCGACCACATGGCGACTCTACAGCTTTTGACGCCGTTTGCAGGATCGAAAGTCTTCGACAAGTCTGCGTCGGTTTCTAGTGTGCGAGGGTTACAGAGCCGGGAGGCGGTGCGCGTGTTGTGCTTGCGAAAAGAGGGTGGCGAAGGGCAATCAAGTAGTGGTGAGAGTGATGGTAGCCGGGAGGCTGTCAGCATTTTGCAGTCCTCTAGAAATCCTCTGCTCAATCTTCCCCGCGATGAATTGATGGCCGCGTTTTCTGGGAAAGACGACGTGCATGGCGATGGGGATTCTGCAGTCGGCCCTCATCTCCCAGCCTCGGGAGAGCGTCGCCGATCGGGCCGGCAGGTGGTTTTCACTGCAGAGAAAGCTCGGCTCCTGCGGAAAGGAAACTGGGAAACGCAAACCTTTCATGACAAATGGTATCATTCTGCTATCGCCAGTAAGTTGGCCTCGCCGGAGTAGCTAACCTGCCTGTAATCTGCTAAAATAGTCATCTTGTAAATATGTTAGTTGGTGCTATGGTGCTGCGAACAAGTTTACGCCACAAAGATACACCAACATCCAAAAGTTATCTAATGTACATATACCTCGGAGGGGATTGCAAACTGCTGCGCCTGAAACTCTGAATATGTGGATCCTGAAGCTCAGCGATAACTTTCAAATTTGTGAAATGAATTGTTTTAAACTGTATAAATGATGCGCTACAATCTGATTTTGGACTTGATTGAAATCAATAGGTGCCTAGGAACACTAGTGCATGAGTTGGGGGGAGGTTGTGAATACCACCTTCTTTGTGCAGTTTGTACAGAGTATTGTACAGGTTATCACATTGTACACGAACCCAGTTGGTACTTGGTTCTTTCACTCAAAGTAATCCGCGTTGTCTGCATTGTGCTGAAGGTCTGCGTGTCCGTGTAACTTCCCATAAACCACATTTTCATTTCCTAAGCCTTCTATGAATCGTCTCTCTTAGTTGCTGTTCTGATTGTTCCTGGTCACCCTGCCAACTTCAGCGTGCCGCAGTAAGGTCCTACCTACAACCGACACAGCTTATGAAATAAAACCATTTCTTCTTTGTGATGAGGGACCATCATTGATTTGACTAAGTTGGCATGCTTTTGGTGTAGTTATTGTTTATGTTTTCTGGAGAGCGGCATTCATTATGAATTACTAGCTGCACCATCCATGTGATTACTGTGTGCGGCAAACCGTGGGTAGTTAGCACACTTCAAAGCAACGTTCACTCTGCATGCTAGAAATTGGTTAAGGAAAGAAATGACATCTCTAGACCTTGGAACAAAGGTCGCTTTTCTTAAAGTAAAAGCATTTCTTTCACACTGAACGATGGGAACAATGGTGATGTCAGATTGTGTTCAGGATTGTTCGTAAAAAGACCATCATATTTGGGAGCATGAACAAGTTCAATATTGCCGTGCAGTCGGAGAGAACACAGCTGTAATACACTCTAATAATCCAGTGTAACCATAAATTATATTTACTTGTGAACGAATCCGCATCTGTTCTCGTTACACATTACGAGCAGGAGGCGGTAACTACTGAAATGGACGGGCCAAGCTTGTTCGATTCGCCAGCCTTACCCAGATATCATCCCCACAGGATGTTCCTGATCCCAATCTTCTCCTTCACTTGCAGGTGCTTCGCAAAGTACCTTCGCAGTTTCCTTTTCGAGAGCAACAACTTTCTTCTTTGAAAACTCTTCCTGTTCGGCAGCCTTGAGCTCTACTCGTGCACAGCAAGTTCACGTAGTATATTTCAGTGGCTTAAACTATCACATTTAGTTTATCAATTAGCCATACTAATGATTGCTTCTATCAGTTCGAAAAATAGATCGGTTCAAGTCATTCAACACAAGAAATGGCACATAAAACACGATATCATAAGATGCCTCTAAACAACGAAACCAGTACATAAATCCTTTGATTCCAAAAACTACACAGGCTGTTGGCATCTTCTTCTTATTGTGGGGATAGGACATCACCGTTTTGGCCAAACTACACAAATGCTTACCAATGCTTGATGCTTGGCCTGATAGTTCGCAGTCTGCTCATCCTACTACAATTATGCCGGAATACCATCATTGTATGTTTTGTAGGAAGGAAACTGAAGGACTCTAGCCTCAAAATCTGGAATAAAGATATTGGAAAAAACCTTGGACGGGGTTACTTATATTTCCAAACATCTTTTATAAGAAATTAAACGTGGGATTCTTCTTTTATTGCCTTGCAGATCCAAGTTTGGTTTTTGTACCTTTCAATTTGGGATCCACTATTTTAACCAATAGCAATTTGGAACTTTGATACATTTAAGACCTTTACTTAGATTGAATTGAAAGAAGCTCTAGAAGAATTTTCACTATTGCTCTTTAAATCACATTGAGATTAGGTCATGTACTCAAACATGGCCCTGACAACAAAAACATAACTTTAGATTTTAGATGGGATTTAGAAATTCAAGTGGATAATATAATTTTGAATATCAAAAAATATATTTATATCAACTATTTAAACCTTCCAATGAGATGTCAATTTTGCTTAGCAACCAATCACAAAGTAAAATATTGTGTAGCTTTATCAAATACAAAGAATAGATGTTAATCTATGCAACTTCAAAGAAGTCAAGTTGAGACAATAGAAGCACCTTCTATGAGTTTCAAAGGACACAATTACCAAAAGTGACATATATGTGAACTTCTCTAATACATAATGAGTGAAGCTAGAATTTGATACATATAGATTTATTCTGATCTGAATCAAGAAAAACGAGGCACAACATGGGACTATTTGAGCAATTATTAAAATAAAAATAGACTTGATTTTTTAAGTTATTCCAAATCTTCTAAAAAATAAAGTCAAAGAAGTCGTTCAATTCTCTCCATAGATTGATATTTAAGATATACAAATTGAAGATGTGATTTATACAACTAAGAAGTTTGCAAAAAAATTCACAATTTTTTTAGGAAGTAAGTCTTGTCATACCATGTAAAAATCAATTAGAAATGCATTAGGCATATTATTGTAAAAGAATTTGATCTTATCTTGAAGATGGATTTATAATCCAAAAATAATGTATAAGATATTTAATAATATATTTTTCATAATTTTGAATAACCTAAATAAGCTTCTAATTATACTAAGTAACTCTTATCAACTTTCAAAAAATCCTAAAAAAAATCTATAACACTCTAATCAGCTTTAAATAAAGCTTAATTAAACTTTGATATTCCTAATTAAATCTTAAAAAACTCTAATTAATTCTAAATATATTATAAAGAAATCATAAAAATATAAAAATAAAATAAAAATTTAAAAAAAATAAATAAATCAAGAATAAATTTTTACCAATTCCAAAGAAATCCTAAATAAACCTTAATTTAAATCTAATCAAATTTTAAGTACATTTTATAAAGTTCCAATCAAATCCTAACAAAATCTTTAAAAAATTCTAAAAAATCTAATCAAATCTAAAGTATAATTTCTAATTTATTTTAAATTTCAATAATTATTCATTCATCTATTGATCTTAATTTTTTTTAAATTCACTTTTCAATATTTTTGTTAACAATAAGCTTAGAAAATTTTAAAAGAATCAAACTTATAAATCGATAGCATGCTCTTGATCTACTTAAGCATTGATTACTTTTCTTCTTCAACAATGATGTTAAACTTTTGAAGTCAATAGCTATCAAGGATATATACTAGGAAGTTGTAGAAGATTCTAGAAGGTTCTAAAGAAGCTTCGTAGTTTGTAGAAGCTACTTGAGAAGTTTTCAAGCTCGTAGAAGCTATTTGGGAAGCTTCTTAGTTTGTTGAAGTTACTTGAGAAGCTTTCTAACTCGTAGAAGCTTCTTGAGAAGTTTCTTAGTTTGTGGAAGCTACTTGAGAAGCCTCTTAGCTTGTAGTATATATAGGAGCCGAGACTGAGGGGATCTTCACTCTTGACAACACACCTCTTGGAGCTTTAGCTCACTTCTCTAGTGTTGTTCTTATACTCATCTGATTAATCTAGTTCTTGCTGATTCTTCTTAAGCTTCTTGTTTAAATTTCAAATCAGTATTCTAAATTCATGACTGTTTATCGAGATTGCACTCATCTTTCATATTAGAGCTAGTTCTTTCTTGTTAGAGTGTGGATTATCCTTCTACTTGAAGGTGCTCGCATTGTAGAGGTTGCGGATTACTCTCCTCTAAACTGATATTTCTTCTATTACAATATTGGAGTCTTAACTTTCTTAGAGAGAGTGAATTACCCCTCTTCTTGAAGGTTTTAAGGCATTTTAGAGGTTGCGGAGTACCCTCCTCTAAACCAATACTGCCTTCTTGTAGAGTCATTTCTTTCCTTGTCTTAGAATGGCCGGAGGTCAAGATATTAGTATGACTAAAAGTTTGGAGTCCAAGTTGGACACCATTATAAATGCTCTTGCTATATTATCACAAAGAACTGTAGAGATTGAAAAAATCATTTCAAGACTTCATAATGATGGAGTATCTAGGATGGCACAATCGAGGATTCACCAGCCTCAAGCTTCAGCACCAAGAGAAGCAACTTTGCCTCTAGTTCAACAAAGACCATTGGTCTTACAATGAAAGGAGCCCCAAATTAGCCTTCCAAATAAGTTCGATGGTACGCATTCCAAGTTTCAAGGCTTTGTCAATTAAATTAGATTGATAACAGCTTTACAGCCCGAATGCTATTCGACGGAGAAGTCACGTGTTGGACTGGTTGGAACTTTGCTCACAAGGCAAGCTCTATGATGGTTTGCTCCTTTATTTGAGAAAAGATCGTCAATTTTGAACAACTTTGAAACTTTATTGGATGCGTTTGTGGAAGTATTTGGCAAACATGACAAGGCATGATGGACTACAAGAAATATCCAATCGCTACGATAAGAGGCATGCTCTGCATCAGTCTATGCATCAAATTTCAGAAAATTGGCGTGCAACATCAACTGGGACGAGGAAGCATTGATAAGTCAATTTTATTGGGGCTTGAGGGACGATATGAAAGATTTTTTTATTATCTCTTTTCGATCTGTGAAAGCTCAACAAAGCCATTAGCTAAGCTGTGAAGTGCGATAACCACCTATTCCAACGTCATCAAGACTAATGCTCAAGACCACATACGACTCACTACGCTCCAACTATGTCAGAAAGTAGTCTGAATTCACATTTAGAGGTGGAAGACATGCAAATTGACGTGGTATATATCAAATTCCTAACTCTAGAAGAAAAAAAGCGGCATATGGAGGAAGGACTATGCTTGTATTGTGGTGAAGAAGGCCACAAAGCTGGAAACTGCCTCAAGAAGCAAAATCGACACATTGTCAGGACCAGTGGCACGTTTGTTCAGGAAAACAAAGATGCCCAACTACAATAGGGACCGTGTGACAAGTCAATTCAATACTACAACAACAATCAAGTTCCTCACTTTTCGCTCAGCTTGCCTATTGCTCTACCATTTCTCTATCGTTCGGCCCTCAGAAACTAAAAATCTTAGTATTATTAGATTCAAGAGCATCTGCTTGCTTTTTAGATGAAGAATTTCTTAAGTGTCACAAGTTTCTTTTAGTATGAAAATCTAAACCCATTCACCTAGTAGTAATAGATAGACGACCTTTATTGTCTGGTAGTATCACTCATGTATCAAAACCTATAGAGGTGATGTTTAAAGACCATAGTAGTTATATCATTTTTAATATTATTAAAATCCCATCAAATCCTATTTTTCTTAGTCTTTCTTAATTAGAAATGCATAACCCATCGATAGATTGGAGGTTACGAAGGATGACATTTCTTATAGAACATTTTGAGAGTAAGTCTGTTAGAAGATCATGAATCAAAAAATCCTTATTTATTGGAGCAAGAGCATTTATAACATCATCC